TAGATTAATTTTTTAATCTACTAAATTTTTTTCTTTTTTTCCTCTGCTAAATTAATGTGGAATATTTTTTCACAAAAATAACAAAATTTGAATTTCTTCAAATTCACAATTTTCTGCTTTTCTAATTGTCATGGCATGATGGGTCCATTGGATCCCAGACAGTAACGAAAAATTAACGCGAATTAATGTTCTGCGAGGAGCACATTCTTAATTACTTCAAATTCAAGTTTTTTTGTTTTCCCCCATTTGATAAATTACTGGTTCCAAATAATCCGGAAACAAATACTGTACATGGAAGTGCATTTCCTCTCCCCCATGCTGATGCTGCATCAGTATATAGTGTGCTGTGAGAGAGATGCGACACGTATATCAGCAGCAGCGAAGGAAGTCGCTCATTGTCCACGGTCTCGCGATTATATACTGTACATCGCCAGCATATCGAAAAAAAAATTACAGATAAGTATAATGAATGTATAGATAACAAAAATAGAAATAAATGAAAAATGCGCGGGGGCGAGGAAATCAGCGCCAGCACTAATATACAGCAGCAGAAAACCTGTGGGAATACCGCGTTTCCTCCATCATCGTTTAATAACCGCGGGATCGCGCATCTCTGAGAAAACGGTGGATGATGAGAAGTTTTTTTCTGCTTCTTCTGCTTCTTCTTGTTTCCTGTTTCCTGGTATATATGGGTATAATAAGGGTTCTTTTTTATTATTTTCCTTTGGTTTCCGCATTATTTTCGTGCCTGTGTGTGTGTGTGTGTGTGTGAGAACTGGGACCTTTTTTCCTGCTGCTGCTGCTGGGATTGCCTGAAACAAAATTTTTTTCTAGCACTGTGTTAATCCATCATGCTGCTTATATATATGGGAGAGTATATAATTGTATGTGGGGAGAGATTTTCTTCTGTAATTTTTTTTTAGGGGGGAGAGGGGGGAGATGAAAATACTTTTTTTTTTTCTGAGATGATTTCATTTTTGATGTTGCAGGAAATTTCAACAGCATCAGCAGCAGTGGGATTTTATTAATTTTTTTTTTCGCATGCATAATTATCTCAATGAATATCAGAACAGCTATTATAGTACTTGTTGTGTGCAATCTTTTTTGTTGTTGTATAATTTGTGTTTCATTGGTACTGTTTTTAGGGATACATGCAGATAGACTTCAAGATGCGGACATAATTGGTGCATCCAGAGTGTCCCTAAGTCAAGGCTTATTTTTTTTAGACTTAAATTAAATAATTATTATTAGGTGTTTTATGGACAAAATACTCACCATAATTCCACGAAAATAAAAATTGTCTCCCAATTTAAACTGATTCAATCAATATATTTCAAAACAATATGGACATTTGGGGAACTGAATACTGATACCTCTGTACAGTACATACAAATGTGGGCATTCTCTGTAACAATAACATTCAAGTGAAAAATAGAGAAGGAATTCCCTCTATGCTGGATGTAATTTTTTTGAATCAGTTAAATGGATGGTAAATTGGTGAGAGAATCAATGCCCAAGAACTTCTCTTATGTCAATTTTAGAACTGGAAGTATCTGTTTCTTGTAATTTGGCCTGACACTTATTTGCAATTTTATCACAAAATGTCCCTATGTTGAGTCAGTGTCCTCGAGGGCCTTTTTTTATTAATTTTATTAATTTTATTTTATTAATGCTTTTAAATGCACTTCACACACTTCAAATTGTTTTGTTGAGAATTGTTTTGAGAAAAGAAATTTTTTTTTTTTGATTGAAAATTGTTTGGATATTTTTCACCAAGGTTTTTTGTTTGTCAAGATTTTTCCAAGACTTTTGCACAGTCCTGTACTCTGATCTTTCTGTTTGTATCAATTTTTTACTGGCCACCACTTTTGTCAGGGGCTAATAAGCCTCTCAGACAAAGATTTGATTTTCACTTATGGTCAGTGAAAGAAAGGTATAAACACAATTGGCCATTTGCGGCCTGAGGTCAATACCTCAACTTCAAGTTTGAATTTATTCAGGAAATGTCCAAAGTTCAATAATTCAGCACACACAAATTTAGCTCCTTCTTCAGTCAAGTCTGGATTGATTCTGGCTGCTCCTGAGGGAGGTTATGAAGAGGTGCAGGTCCTCATTAGTGGAAAGTTTATTCAAGGCTTTCCATTGATGTGTGTCTGATTGGTGTGCACACAGAATTCCTCATCATTCTTTTGATCACCAGGGCTGATTCATCAGTTGAATAGGCCCTGGAGATCAATATCTCCAAGGCTGGTCTTTCGCTAGATTTCCTTGGAATCTTGTTTTTATATTTGTTTAGAAATGTATATTTCATAACTGGTTTTATATAACCATCTTCTTCTCAAATATTGAGACGATGTGGCGTTTTGTACGCTGCGTTGATTTTTTCTTCTACTGTTTGTACTCCTGACTTGGGCAACATCTAGTTGTCCCGAGAAAAGTGGCGTGTCAGCAGGCGACATCTGTTCAACCCGTGACAATTTATATTTTAAAAATTGTTTGAACAATTTACTTTAGTGTGAAGAAAAACAAAACAAAGTATACATACACACACACACATATATATATATATATATATATATGTATATATATATATATATGTATATATATATATATATATGTATATATTGAAAGTGATATTGAATTCCAAAACAACCTGACTCAGTGAGAAATTCCAAAATCTCAAGAGCAAGTACGCCTTGATTGTGAATAAACTGATTGTGAATAAAATATATTTTATATAGGTTGAACTTGTTTTATTAATAACGGACAACAAGACAAAAAACTTCAACCCAAGATGATCATGTCAAACTACTGTAACTTCCGTTTGATTCCACATAAGCAGCATCTTTTGAAAAGCTGGCTTGTACAAGGGGCCTTTGGCACATAAAATTGCTGGCGTACTCATGGACGTTGAATTTCCATCAACCCATTCCTGTAGTGGTCTGCAACCTCTCAATTTGTAATCCATTAGAAGGCTGTTCCAAAATATTTGCCTTGAACCCAGCTGGAAATTCAAAAATCGAAAAAACCACAATTAAACAGAGATTCATAATTGTGACAAACGCACTGCTACGTACATAAACTTCATTTGAATTGATTTCTTCATTTATGGTAGTAGAAATTCTTCAAAAGACCAATACTCGCGATCAACAAAAGTCATGCTCAAGAAAATAAGTATGAATCATGAAAGGACTTCAGTCTTTTTTCGTTGCCCAATCATGCAATGAGTGCTTGAATTGAGTTTTCAAAAATGTTCTAAGTTCAACATTTAATCTCAAATAGGCGCAATTTTACATGCATTCGAAATATTCTCTCAAATTTGAAAATGGATGATATCATCATGTTCAGTGCACAAAAAAAGTTGACATGTGAAAAATACAATTTATTTTCCGGAACCAGTCCAGCAGAAAAACTGCTGCTTCAACAAAGTTTTTATGCACGATATCCACTCAAGTACCAGCCATCATTTTCCGCAGACAAAAAGAGTAGCTGGAAAAGTGGAGTGCGCATCATAGACTTGTACTTACTAAATTTCTGAAAATTTTGCAAGCTTTTGGCAGTTGTCTTGAGAATGTGCTACATGTTGACTCTCTCTACAATCGTCTTGTCTGCAACAATTTTCTCTGCATAAAAAATTTTGTTTTTGGTCCCAAGGGGTTATTCTCTCCATATTATAGGAATTCTCTACAATTAAATTTTTTATACAATGAATTTTGTTCCAATAACCTGACCTCTGTAATAGACATTGAGTCCACCTGTCCATCAAGAAATGTTGAACAATTGAATTCAAATTTCATCACTTTCAAATTTTAGTTTTTTTCAGAATTGAGTTGTTTTACAGAAAACAACAATGTATATTTAATGCAGGCATTTGTTTTCCTCACAATGTTGGTGTCAATAATTAAGGTGCCCACCTTTAATGAAGCACATGCTTATTTTATATTACCCTTGTGCAGTAAAGTTGAGATATTTTTGCAAAATTTTGTGCCCATGAGCACTGAAAAAATCCTACTTTGTTCCAAGGCCTAAGCCAGGAACAAGTCCAATATATTTTCTGATCCTGCAGAAATTTTTGGGTAAAAAAAAAATATCCTTTGCCTTTTTCCAACATTCCTAGAATATGATTAGGACTGTAGATTCCTCAGAACAATAAAAGATTAACCTTCCAGATTTTCCCCAACTTTGGCCTTCCCAACCTGCTGGGAGCATTTGCGTGACCTTGGGTGAAACTCAAATGCACCACCCCCCATCCAGACTCAACCATGATCAATAGAAAGGAACACTTGAGATCTCAGGATTAAAAAAGGGCAATTGGCACTTTAGAAAAATACAAAGTAGAAACCAGTCAGAAAATGTTTACAAACATGTCACACCTTCATTGCCCAAATGCCAGTGATGTATCTGTCATCCCAGTTTAAAGGATGAGCTCCCAGAGTAGCAGCTAGCACAACAACCGCGTGGGTTTTAGTTACCAAATAAGCCATGCCTCTCAAGGCATACGGGTAACTGATCTCGTTGTACTCATTCCAGGTAGTGGAGTATTTTCGACCCGGCTTTCGATCGACTGCATCCCTGGGTGTCTTTGAGCCTATCACAGCAGCATCATTTTTCCGGATATACCTGGAGTGTAAAAATGCCTGCTATTATGGGTAAACCTGCTAGACTGGCCATAAACGAGCCAATTATAGAAATGAGATGGTTAGCAATATATATACAAAGCTTTTGGCACTTTTGAATTTTTGGTACTGAACACAATTTTTGTAAAAGGAGTGGCTTGTAAAACATGTGGGGTAAAAATCATTTTTCAAACTGAACAAATCGACTGCATCTTAATTTTCATACAGAGGGCGCCACTTGGACACTATACTAGGCCAACTTAGAAACTCCCATTCTCAATCAGACTGGTGCTTCACTTCGTGAAACAAATGTATGATGCAAAAAAACAATTTGTTTAGAAAATGACTCATTTCACAAGCTTCTTTCGAAATCAAAAGCCTTCAGCCAATATAGAAAAAAAAATCCCAAATGCCTTCACTTTATTTGATGATGAATGTCAGGGGCTATTGAGCCTCTCAGACAAAGATTTGATATTCACTTATGGTCAGTGAAAGAAAGGTATAAACACAATCAGCCATTTGTGGCCTGAGGTCAATACCTCAACTTCAAGTTTGAATATATTCAGCAAATGTCCAAAGTTCAATAATTCAGCACACACAATTTTAGTTCCTTCTTCAGTCAAGTCTGGATTGATTCTGGCTGCTCCTGAAGGTGGTTATGAAGAGGTACTGGTCCTCATTAGTGGAAAGTTTATTCAAGGCTTTCCACTGATGTGTATCTGACACTTCAGCACACAAAATTCCTCATCATTCTTTTGATCACCAGGGCTGATTCACCAGTTGAATAGGCCCTGGAGATCAATATCTCCAAGGCTGGTTTTCCTTGGAATCTTGTTTTTATGTTTGTTTAGAATATATATTTCATAACTGTTTTTATATAATCATCTTCTAGAAGAAGATGGATTTCCTTTTCTTGAATATTATGACGACATGGCGTTTCATACGCCGTGTCAAATTTTTCTTCTCCTGTTTGTACTCCTGACTTGGGCAACATCTAGTCGTCCAGAGAAAAGCGGCATGTCAGCGGGCGACATCTGTTTGACCCATGACAAAACCCCCCTTGGTCTTTCCAGTTTTGCCACCAGGTGGCAAGATAGGCAAGACCAACAGACTGGTTGGGGTCTCGGGAAGAACGATGGCGGTGCGCATGTGCCAGTTACCAGAAAGTTCTAGTTTGTTCTGAGTATTGCGCAGATGTGCATCAAAGATGATTCCGCGTGAATCATCCATTGAGTTTTTTGCAGAAGGGTCGAGAACCTTCTAGAATTCACTCTTTCTTGAGTCATGCGCAGGCATTCTTGCGTCATGCGCAGGGAGTGGTGTCCTGGTGTGATCAACAAAGGTGTCCTGTTGTCGGGTTACAGGCGCAGTCATGCCTGTAACGCCGTATCGGCAAATTGGATTTGTGAAGTGTTTTGAAATTGATTGGCAGGTTTTTTGCTGTGGACTTGTCCCTTTTGACATCGGGCTGAAGTCGTCATTGTTTGAAAGATGATTGGCTGTCATCTCAATGTCAAGGTGTGATGCAGGTCCCTTTTTTTTTGTATGAAAAAGTTTTTTGAGTGACAAGTCTTTGGTGATGAATTGTTAATGGTGATTGATTGACTTGCATGGGTCTGCATTTCCCGTATTTGGAAAGCAGGAGATGCGGATCCATGTTGAGATAATTTTTCTCCTGTCGTCAATTGGAAGTGAAGTTGCTTGTTTTTTTGAGAAGTGTTTGAATGTTGTTTGAAAAATGAATTGCTGGTTGCCAGTGCATTAACTGGCATGGATTCACATGTTCCCGCATGTTTTGTAAAGCGGGAGGTGTGGATCCATGTCTAGATAGTGCATGTCCTTTCATTGATCCTTTTTGCTTCGTTCTTTTTTTGTTTGGAGAATGAATTGCTGATTGACGGTGCATTAACTGGCATGGATCCGCATTTCCCCTCATGTTTTGTTAAAGCGGGAGGTGCGGATCTATGCCCAGATAGTACATGTCCTTTCCTCAGTTCAATTTTTGATTTTCTTTTTTGAATGAAGGTATTGACCTTTCAAATGTTAATGGAGTGTTCAAAGTGTCTTTTTTGCACGTTTTTTTGTGACTGACGTATTTTTCCAAAGCATGTGCCGCATCTCCTGCGTGATCAGGACAGGGGATGCGCACACGCTTGGAAGGCATGCGTCGAGCCTGAAAATTTTGTATTTTTGATTTTATGTGCTCTGTTTGAATGAATTTCTGTACAGCAAGGAGGGGAGTCTACTCCTTGCACATGCGGGGTGGAATTTTTTCATCACCCAACATCGGGAATGACCAATTTGCATGCCATCTGCAGGCAAGGGAGGAATGACCTCCGTTGCTGATGGTAATTGACCAAAATCTGCAGAAGATTTTTTGCATATTGAAGTGTTTCCAAAAGGAAAGAAAAGGGGGGAGTGTTAACCCCTTTTGTTTGATGATTGTGTGAAATGAATCCGCCCAGAGGGATGAATGACTCTGGGATCAGTATTGACCGGTCCTCCCGAGAGGGATGTCATCTCTGGGTTTGGCAATCCAATCGATGCGTGTGGGGAGGATTAATTCATCTCCCTAAAATTGGTATTGACCGACACACGCCTTCTCAGACAAGGGAGGAATGACCTCCTCTTGTTTGGTTGGTTAGGCCAATTTTGCGGGCGATCAAACTGAGGAATGACCTCGGTTCTCATCCACTTTTTTGTTTAGGGTGTCGCAACAAATGTGTATTGAGTGAGAGTGTCCATCCTGGCTCGATTGGTTGTTATTTGTTTCTCAAGGGAGGAATGACCTCTCCCTGTCCTGGTAATGACCAGTTTTTGTGCGTAACATGTTGGGGATCGTTGTTCATATCCTCCTTCGTTATGCACCATGTTTTGACTCTTGATTGTTTTTGTCTGCAGATCTCATTGTTTGTTTGAAGTTGTTTGAATGAAGCGGACACTCCGTGAAATGAGCAAAGCGGATTCCATTAATAGAGGTGAGAAAGAGAAACATTTATTTGTGCCCCAAACGAGACACTATTGACACTGTTGTTCATGTTTTGCCTGATTTTTGCAGAGGGTGCCAAGCTTAGCAGCGGTGTCTCTGAAGAGGGCAATGGAAGAGGGCAATGAAGAGTCCTCTTGAGGAGGAGGTGGAAGCTGGACCGTCGTCTTCCAAGCAACATTGGATTGACAATCCCGGCATGCTCGTTCTGCCAGAAGGTGGCAAAGATTTGGTCCCATCTTTGTTGCAGCTGGACCTGGATTGGTGGCGCCGTTTGCATTTGTTTGTTCTGGCCATGGATACGGCAGCCTGCACTGAGGTCACTTGACGTGGCGCAGAAAGGGACGCTGCAGCCGAGGAAGAAGAGTTGGAGTTGGCTGAGGCCCAATTGCAGTCGTTGCGTGATCATGCCGCAGTAGTTAATGCCGAGTGCCAGGAGCTTGGTGAGCAGATTGCGGCCAATGAAAATTGTATCAAGCAGAGCTACGCCTTGAAGGCAGCAACAGAAGCCTGCTTAAAGGAAGCGTTTGATGCTCATTTGGCAATTGACAAGACGCGCCTCCGTTCAGTGTTTGTGAATGGTGCTGGGCGACTAATGTTTCCCGTTCCTCGGTGTCGCAATGAGATGAATGGTATGTATTACCTCGACACAATGTATTTATGCACATTTGTATGGGTTGGTTTTTGTTTGGAATTGTTTGAAAAACAGGCAGCGTCAAAATCTACAATATTGCTGGGACGCCGCCTTTATCCATTTTGTTTGGAAGCGTTCCTGATCTTCATCAGTTGTGGCTTGCTGAGAGTAATTTGGGCCATATGCCAGCACCAACAGCTGTTTTGCCTGGACCGGATCCAGTGAGCATGTCTGCTTTGCAAGCAGTATTGCTTAAATGTGGAGAAATGGGCGCACGAGCTCGCTCTTCATCAGCTTCAAGCCAGGCGCCATCAACTAGCCAGGCTGAGGCAAGTCAGGTGCCTTCTGTTATGGAGGTAGATCGAGACAATCTTGCTGGGGAGGATCCCACTGTTTCGACATTGGCATCTGGAGCGCCATTGATGAAAATCTTTTCCTCCTTCCGTGAGTTTTTTGTAAAACTGCTGTGTTGATACATCTGTTTGTATATATCCTGTTTTTAAAAACCAGGTCGGCGAGTACAAGGCTGGTGGGAGTAGGACCCAGAGGATTTTGAGTCGTATATCTCCAACGTGGGTCACCGAATGAGGATCACCAAAAGTGTCGTCCCAAAGTTTTGGGTACAGCACGTCCCCACGCCAGGTACTGCGGTTCAGGACCTGGAATATCATCACATTTGTTGGCCTGTGTGCAGGGAGAAGAACAAAGGGCGTCCTGGAGTAGCCAAAGTGGGCTTGTTTGGAGATTCTTTGATCTGCCCTTGGACCATTACAAGGGACGCCTTCTTGACACGTGTTGGCGGCGGCGGTGATGACATCTTTCCAGCGTCTGACTTTGCGCACCTCACCAAGGATTTACCGCATGACATTTCTCAGGTATGTTTTCCTGAAACTGGTTGTTTGGAAAAATGAATGAGTTTCTGATATTTTTGTATCAATTTTTGCAGTACGGGGTCAGCGGTGTGAGTGCGGTTGCTGGATCCATGTACAATCATTGGTCACCGGCTACCGTTTTTGATCGGATGTATACCCATCTTAATTTGTGCAAAAAGGAGTTTCAATTTATGCATCTCTGCATGCGAAGTGGAACCCATGTTATTAAATCATTGTGCACGGTGACCGGTCCAAGCCGCATCAACTCCTTCTTCACCTTCTATGAAAGATTGAAGGCGTATTTTGTGGAGTTGTCCAGGGTATTTAAATGCCCTGTGTTTGTATTCGGTGCATCTTCTCCTGGAGTTTGGTGTGGTTCAAAGACAAAATTCAAGTTGGACGCCAAGAAATTTCCACGGTTTCCCCTGCGCCAATGTGACAATGAATTTGTGACGGATGAGCAGCGCCTTGAAGTGGGGTCAATGTGTTTGGCGTTACTTGACCTCTTGCTGTGGCGAGATGTTGGTCGTGTCCACGGCCATGGTGTTGGAGTTCCTGGATGGTGGGCGTTACCTACGCCATTGGGCTATTTAGCTGAGTTTGCCAAAATTTTGTATGCGGACATCAAAAATTTTGGACATCTCAGTTCCAGAGTGTATCTCTGGTTTGCTCGGGACCACGTACTCAGGATCATTTTCGCTGTTATGATTACCTCGGGCCAAGGTGGCATTGAGGTTTTCATTTGTCCCGGTGAGGGCCCTGTTTGGATGCCTGATGGGACG